AAAAAATTATGGACAGTTTTGAGGCACCCCATTCTAAAATGTAAACAACTATTCTAATAGTTTTATATAACGCAGCAGCATCCACACATGTAGGACACCCAATGCTAGAAGTGATTTATTCTTCCAAATCAAATACTTTTGCACAAATGGGTACTGACTAGTATTCTCGTGTTTCTCTCAGTTTTTCTCCATCACTGAGCTAATCTGGCCCCAGCACTGATGGAGAGGGGCAGGGGAGGGTCAAACTGGGAATCTGTGAAGGCAACTGACATCCTGTTTTATCAACTGATGGTGTCATTGGTTGTCAGGACGTTGATGGCTAGGAGGTTGTAATGGTGCACAATGAAGACCTGTGGCTTTGTGCCTTTTTAAACATTTTGCCAAGGCACCCCTGAAGAACTCTCAAGGCACCCCAGGGTGCCTGAGCACTCTGGTTGAGTAAAGTAAAGAGATACATTGATTTTGGAGGAAGAAAAGACTTTATTATATGGAGACTGATTTTTAATAAAAAAAAATTGGGGGGGAATATATTGTGATTGAGGACATTTGGGACACTTATGATTGGGTATTGATATAGGTTTATTGCTTGAGAAAAGGTTTTATATTTTTACACCTGACAGCTTGCTTCCAAGTTGTGCTGCCTGTGTCCATAGACACAGACAGCACAGCTGGGCCCCACCCCCCACTCCCATCGTCACAGGATGTGACCGACAGCAGCCAAAGGCTCCTGCTGCCTCAGCAAAGCCTGTGAAACCAGAAAGTGAGAGGAGAGAGTCACTACAGATGGGTAAGTATATCTGGGTGTTTTACCTTAATGCAAGGAATGCAATAATGTAATAAATGTTTAGGCTTTAGAACCACTTTCAGTCCCTCTTCGTGAATATGTTTCAGTACTTTCTCCAATTGTTATTTGTGTTCTTCAAGCATTCTTCCAAAAATTATCAGGCAATCTAGGTTTACCAACAATTTGATTATATTCATGTCTTGGGATGACGAAAGCAGTCTTCTCTCTATCTTCAAGGTGCATAGGAATCTGATGGTACCTGTTCCTCAAGTCGAACACGCTGAACCACTTGGTCCTGGACAGGCACTGTAGTGCATCTTCTATTTGCGGATTGGTGTATGGACCTGGAATAGTCCTCCAACTGAAAGTGTGGTACTTGATGCACATTCCAATAGATCCACTACATTAGAAACATCAAGACTTCTAGACTCTCGGATGATCCCAGTCCTCTTCTGTTCTGCCAGCTGTTCCTTTGGGCCCTCAAAATTTCCTAATGGAATCTGCCAGGAGCTCTCTCTAAATGGTTTATCCTCTTGATTGGTGGCACACCTCACATCATAATCATTCATAGAGAACAGTTGTTGCTACTTCAGGAATAAAGCTGAGAGCCTGCCTTTCCATTCAGGCAAGATCTGAGTATTTTTTGTGTAAAACTGTTCTACCAAAATGTCACTTTCAGATCCCCACACCAAAACAGATGTTGAGATGGGGCTGCTTGAATTTACCTGCCCCAGCAGCATTTGGGCCTGAAACATCACACGGGAGTCAGTGATAGTGTGGTGACTGACCAAGATTGTCTACAAAGCTCTAGTCGAGACTACTTCAAGAATCAGCTCTACTCCAGAGTCCATCTCTCCCTTTAGACCAGATTCAAGGATGTAAGGGCCTGGCTGTTCCAAGCTCAACTTGAGTGAAGGCTGGAGACAAGCCACTTCTCCCAATTGCAGTACCGTTTCCATTATTTCTAAATAAGATGAATTATACAGTTGTCTCTGGAATATTTGCTCTCATTGGGTAATTTATCCTCACCTCTTGCTTTAGTGACAACAACTCTGAAATGCTGGGCTTCTCCTGAATTTCTGTCTGGGCACAATGGTCAACAGGACAAAAAGAAAAGGGAATCTTGGCAGCTGAGACAAAGGATCTAACCCTTCCTTATTTTATTCAATACTAAAAAAAAAAAAGCCTTGCCTTTAAATACACTATACAGTAACTACTATCAACCACCCACAGTATTTTTTGTGCGGGCAGGTGGAACGTGCAGGCACAATAACGTACATGTACATGATTGTGCCAGCAGCAGATCACTGTTACTAATAACTAGGTATCATGTGATCGTTCTGATTGGTCATAACGATCACATGGTAACAATGAAAACAACTTGTCTCAAATGGGGTTCCATTAATGAACAGCTTGCTTACTGTTGTGATCTGTGATTGGCCCACAGCAATCACATGGTACTTGGCTACCTGTACCATGTGATTAGCTGTAGCCAATCACAGATCACAATCAAAAGCAAGATGTTCATTAATTAACCCATTTGTGACAGCTAAAACTATTGTTTATACAGTGATCTTCACTGTATCGGGAATAACAGTGTAAAACAAAATCTATTATTAACCCCAGAGTAGTACTGTGTCTAGTGTGTCACTATGGTGATGCTGAGCTAGTCTGATGACAGAGAGTTAAAAAAAAAAAATTAGTAAAATAAATAAATAATGCTAAAAAAAATAAATGTATAAAATTTGCATTAAAAATTTTTTTTTAAAAATTGTGAAAAAAAAACACATTTTATTTGATTTCTTGATTTTCCAAAAAAACTGTGACAAAAAAAATTACAACTTCAAAAAACTAGCCATGCCTCTTACTAGACACCTCAGTCTGTCTACTTTCCAAAAATGGGTCACTTGGGGGGATAATTTGTACTGTCCTTGTGTTTCAGAGCCTGAAGAAATGAGATAGGCCATCAGTACATCAGGATTCGTCAATTTTTAAATATACTGTATATACCATAGCTTGTAGACGCTATAACTTTCACACAAACCAATTAATATATACCCTTATTGGGATTTTTTTTTACCAAAGACATGTAGCAGAACACATTTTGGCCTAAATTTATGAAGAATTAGATTTTTTTATTTTTTTTTATTGGATACGTTTTATAACAGAAAGTATTTGGGTTTTTTTTTTTTTCAAAATTTCAAATGTTTTTTAGTGGTCAAATACCACCAAAAGAAAGCTCTATTTGTGTGGAAAAAATTATAAAAGTTTCATTTGGTCACAGTGTTGCATGACCACACAATTGCCAATTAAAGTAGCGAAGCAAAATAGCAAATTTGATCTGGTGATGAAGTGGGTAAAACCTTCCAGAGCTCAACTGGTTGGTGATTTCTAGGTACAGTATATACATACACAGAGTAACTTAACCACTTGCCTACCAGGCACTTATACCCCCTTCCTTACCAGGCCAATTTTCAGCTTTCAGCGCTGCCGCACTTTGATTGACAATTGCGTGGGTCATGCAACATTGTACCCATATGAAATTTTGATCATTTTTTTTCTCACAAATAGAGCTTTCTTTTGGTGGTATTTAATCGCCGCTGGGCACTTTACTTTTTGCGCTATAAATAAAAAAAGTGCAAAAAATTTGAAAAAAAAAAAAAAAGTTTATTTGTTTCTTTTATAAGATTTTTCAAACAGGTATTTTTTCTCCTTCACTGATGTGCGTTGATGAGGCGGCACTGATGGGCACTGATAGGCGGCACTGATGGGCACTGATAGGCAGCACTAAAGGGCACTGATAGGCAGTACTAATGAGGTGTCACGGATAGGCGGCACTGATAGACAGCACTAATTAGGGGTTACAGATAGGCGGCACTGATATGCAGCACTGATAGGCGGCACTGATAGGTGACACTGATAGATGGCACTGACTGGCATCACTGCTGGGCACTGACTGGTGGCACTGACTGGCACAACCCCTGGGCACTGACTGGTGGCACTGACTGGCAGCACTGCTGGGCTGCACTGGTGGGTGGCACTGGTGGGCGGCACTGATGGGTGGGCACAGGTGGGTGGCACTGGTGGGCACAGGTGGGTGGCACTGGTGGGCACAGGTGGGTGGGCACAGGTGGGTGGCACTGCTGGGCACATGTAGGTGGCACTTCTGGGCACAGGTAGGTGGCACTGCAGAGTGGCACAGGTGGGTGCACTGCTGGGCACAGGTGGGGGCACTGCTGGGCACAGGTGGGGGCACTGCTGGGCACGGGTGGGCGGAGCTAGTGGGCGCACTGCTGGGCGGAACTTGCGGGTGTCACTGCTGGGCACCGATCATCAGGGCACTGATCATCAGTGCCCTGATGATCGGTGCCGATCCCCGCTCTGACAACTGCCGGTTCTCGGCAGTACTTTCCTCACGATCTGACAGCGTGAGGAAAGTGCAGCCGAGAACCGGCACTTGCATTTCCCTGTGATCAGCGTGTCATTGGACACCGCTGATCACGTGGTAAAAGGCCGCTGTGATTGGCCTTTTACCACATCACGTGATCAGCTGTGTCCGTAGGACACAGTGATCACGGAGATCGCCGCCGGGTGCGCGCCCCCTGGGGCGCGCAGGAGAGCGCGTTCTGGGAGGACGTCATATGACGTCCACTCAGAACTGGCCGGCCACGGTGAAGCCGTCATTCGGCTATGCGCGGTCGGCAAGAGGTTAACCCTCTATTGAGGGTATTATGATTTATTTAGCAAGGCAGCATTTACACTATATCCAGGCAAATAGCTTTAAATTTATTTGTCAGGTCTTTCTTATGCATTTATCAGCTACAAGTTCTGGCCATTTTTACATTCATGACTGACTGACTTGTTCACTTAATCGTAGTAACCAAACTCCAGTGCTCATTTGATTAGTGAAGATTAGATATTGAAATTCATCTCACCATCATCAGAATTACATAGATATAAAATGAGGTAAGTTTGTGAATACATACTTCAATATATTTAGTCTTCTCTTTATCAACTTAGCTTCAAGAAGGGTAATATTTGATGGCAATGACAGAGGTGATGACACTCCTGAGAATCAGCATTTAATCTGGAAATTAACTGGCAACTGGTTCTAGAAAATGAAGTGTCTTAGTCATAATAGCTGTTCTATTGTCTGAATGGCTCGCGAGTGTATATAAGGGTCTGCAAAGAATTCCACATTCACTAACTGGCCAGAGGATTATCTTCCTGTCTGCGAAGCAGTTCCTAATCTTCACTTACAAGACCCTGGTACCCTACTTTCTTGTAAGTACACATTTTTATTTATGCAATGCCTGCTTAATAATAGTTGATGCAACAAAGACATGATACAAGCATTGTGCTGTATACATATAGTCAATAATACATGATGCATTGGCAAATGTAGCTTGGAGAAGGCATGGGGATTGTTACAAAGACAGATATTAGGACACTGATTTACAGTCCATATACCTGGCATATAGAGGGTCCAATGAGCCAGCAGACAGTCATAGAGAACCCTACAGAATAATATTATAGTCATAAAATGGACATAGACATTAAATAAGTACACATGAAATTATGATTCTAAAGGGTACTTTTAAAGATTGGTGAAAAATGTGCTTGAAAATACATTCAATATATATTTGTGATATCTATTAGTATACCTTTTAAGAAACAGAACAGTAACCATTAGGATAGTAACAATTACAAACTAACAGTTATTTATAATACAAGTAACAGTCAAAAGATCAATAAGACGATTGTGATTTTAAAAACATTACCATTGTTAGCTAGTGTTCAAAATGCAGCTGCAGGTTGAAGATGCTTCTAATTAGCAAATATTTAAAAATAAAAAAATAAAAGAGAAAAAAAAATCATAAAATTTTCATTATTAAGGATGATTGTGGAGAAGGGATCTTTACTGCTTATTACTGCTGTTTACGTTTTTTTCTTCAAAACTGTATGTACTTTTCCTTTAGAATTGTTTTATGCATTTGTATTATCTGTATAATTAATTCTTCTTTTAGGTTCACTATCGCAAATTATATTATGTTGTAAAAGTCCTTAAAAACAATCATCTCAAGTAGAGCAAAGCTCTCAACAATTTAGTGAGACGATTCAAACTTAGAATAAGACAGACAGAGAGACAGATAGATAGATAGATAGATAGATAGAGAGATAGATAGATATAGATAGATAGATAGATAGATAGATAGATAGGTTATGTTAGATAGAGTAAACAGTTATGTTTAAAAAAATTGAAAATTCCATGTGGGTAAATGTTTTCCTGTGGTTTGACTTGGATGACCTGTACAAATCTGCAGGTAGACTAAAACACATCTATAACATGATAATATTCCATAATACTTGGAACAGATGTCAGATGGAACTGTTGTGGGAATAATGGGAAAGCTCATGTTGTTAAAGAGGAACTCCAGGCAAACAGATAAATATATGGGTGAGCTTCACATTTTGTGGTTTTATATGTCAAAGGATTTGACAGTTTGTTCAACCAGTCTTATGATTTACACAACTCTACCAAACTGCACAAACAGAAAGGATCACTGACCACTACCCAATACAGCTGTCTGGATCACCTTCACGCTGTACAGAATTACAAACCCATTGGCAGCTGTAATTCAGGTGTCTATTAGTCATTTGCCTGGAGTCCTACACTTAATATATGAATTGATAAGTGCAGGTAAGTTTTACTACAGTGTTCTTTCTTGTAGTTATACAGTCATGCATAATATTTATATACATAGGTGTCCATTTATGACACAGAGAATAGCTGCGATTCAGAGGATCGCAGCTATTCTCTGGTCATTCACAGTTTATGACACTCAGGAGCAGGGGCGGACTGACTATTTGGAAACTCGGGCACTGCCCGAGGGCCCGGGGTCAGTAGGGGGCCCCATGAGATGCCCCTGGTACCTTTTTCATAGGCTTTTTTGAGTTTGAGCAAGGACATAGGGGCCCCATGATCCCCTATTGCCCGGGGGCCCCATGAGTTGTCAGTCCGCCCCTGCTCAGGAGAACAGCGGAGAACATGTTCAGCCCTTCACTGGAGATCTGTGTTCTCCCTCCAGATTCTCCAGCCCAGAGCTGGAGAATCGGAGGAACCACAAACTAAGCAGCGATCATTTACCTCTGCTTAGTAAACTGATCTTTTACTGTAATCTCATGAGATTATAGTAACATCAGCCATTTTCCAGCATTTGTAAACCGTTTTCCAGCGTTTGCAGATTGTTCTCCCTTTGTTTGGAGAAATGATCTACACCGCTTCATAAAAGGCATTCACAGGAGAACGGTGTTCTCTGAGAATGCCGGAGAACTAAGCAGCAATCTATTACCGCTGGTTCATAAACGGACACCATAGTTACACAGTTAGTCTGGCTGAAAAAAGACAAAAGTCCATCCAGTTCAACCATAGAAAGAAAAAAAAAATTATAATCCTATACCCACAGTTGATCCAGAGGAAGGCAAAAAAAAACCCCAGCATATATCACAATATATCACACAAATATTATATACCTAAACGAACTTTGTTAGGAACGAATACTGAAAACTCCTGTTGGTACCTAATTTTTAACAGATATCTAAACCCAAGAAAAAAATGGAATATACTGCAGTTTATCAGCCCTTAGATGCTGTGTCTATAATGGTTTTCATTTGTCAGGAAAAAGAGCATTTTAAGCATGTACAGAAAATATTTGCTGAACTTGCCAGAAATTCAGTGTTCTTGTCACTGCCTGTGAACTAAACTGAAAGCACAAAAATTTTATCTTCCTTCTGTAAACTAATCCCTCCAACACCCATGTAATAGAGATTAATTGAGGAAGCCGTCAATCCAGGGTGAGAATCATGGCTCCGTACAGTGAGTGAGCATAGCTATCCAGAGACAAGAGGTATGTTGTTCACAGAATTACCAAGTGAAAATAAAGAGAAAAAAAAAATAAAAATTAATGTTGACACCTCATCTAAGGGCAGGTAAGCTGCAATAAATTACATTTTTACTTTTGGGCTAAGAGCCGTACAGCTGTCATCCTCATTTTTCCTTTACTACATAGCAAATAACTGACTGAGAAACAGAATGTAGCCAGTGCAGTACTTTCCATTAAATTAATGAACTAATTCTAATTACTCTTAGAAGTTGAACTCTGTTCAGAAAGGTTAAGGTAGCTTTGGGAATTACATGTTTTACCTTCAACAAATATGGTCATCCTTTATAATACAATGGTGAAGCCACTGTAAAATCACTACTAGAAGTCTGCTTAATAAGGGCTCCGTATTCCCTATTCCCTGTTTGTATGAGTAGTGGCTGCTGTGCCCACTCCTTTCATAGGCCACTGGTTCCATAGCATCCTTTGTCAAGTAACTGTATAAGGAGCCCAAGAGGATGAGGTGACCTCTTGCACAATTCTCATCCAAGCCCACGTAGGAGTTAAGATGGGACCTGCAATGGTGATGGAAGGGCACAAGTGTCTGGGTGCCAGGACTGGTGACTGGATCTTGAGGCGGTGGTACCAGATGTGCAGGAATACAGCTGGTAATCCACAGAGGAAACAATAAGTTCAAATGTGAGGAAAGTCAGGTAACAGGTCAGGGTTCAATAGGCAGAATTTTGGTCAGGCCGAGGTTGTTAACTGAAGCGAACAGCAATCATAAGCAGACAGAGGATATCCAAATGCAGATGAGGTGGAAGATGAGTCAGCAACAGGGGCGGACTGACCATTTGGAAACTCGGGCAATGCCCGAGGGCCCGGGGTCAGTAGGGGGCCCCATGAGATGCCCCTGGTACCTTTTTCATAGGCTTTTTGAGTTTGGGCAAGCACACAGGGACCCCATGATCCCCTATTTCCCTGGGGGCCCCATAAGTTGTCAGTCTGCCCCTGGTCAGCAATGAAGGTCAGGCACAAGTTCATAATCAGGAATCACAGCGGTATACAGACAAAGACCATACCATACAAGTCCATAGGCATGTAGCCTATGCAGAACTCAGGTTTAAATTGCCAGCTTGGTACTAATGTCTGTGGTAGACATGTACGCATGTTGCTGGACAAGCTGTGATGTGCATGTGATAATTAGGCTTCTATGCACAAAAACATGTATGCTTATGCACTTGTGTGTGAGTCTGATGGCTGGCACACTACTCACGACATCCCCGCTGTTGTTTTTTTCCTTACCTGTGGTAACCTAATCACATCACAGCTAGCTGTAGTGGGAAGTCTTGGGCATATCAGACTCCTGCTTTGTCCTGACCACCACGACATAATGTTAAATGATTATTAGGGCAGCAGAAGAATTTACTCATTTACACCCACAATCCCACACACATTATATAGTTAATTGGCAGCAATTCTCATTTGATGTTGGAAATTGTAGTTTGTTCCAGCAGTGTCCTGTATTTATGTAATTTTTTAAAAAAAAAAAAAGATTTATTTGTAATAAAAATAAGTTAAAAACAAAAAATCAAATATGGAGTTAATGCTACTGCAAAGGCATCAGAGAACATCATACAGTATACTATTATTTTTAAGCTTTTAAAAACTGGCATTTTTTCAACAGTTTGCAAAATATGATGTTTCAATAAATGCTTATTGCTATTATTTATTAGGTATAACTGCTTTTACCACACTTGATATTTTGGAGCAGAGCTACCAGCTCAAAAATCTGAATGAACCCCTAATCTTACTTCTTATTGCTTATCCTAAACCCCGAAACAAAAGCCTAACCTTAAACCCAACAATGAAATGCTTAACTATAACAACTGACAGTAATCTGCAACCTACATTAACCCCAACAACTGACAGTAATCTGCAACCTACATTAACCCCAACAACTGACAATAATCTGCAACCTACATTAACCCCAACAACTGACAGTAATCTGCAACCTACATTAACCCCAACAACTGACAGTAATCTGCAACCTACATTAATAGACATCAACCTAAAACTGGCTATACATGGATCAAAGTTCAGCCAAATTTTGATCAATCTATAGCTGTTCCAGTTCATGAGAAGCTGATCTATCGATCAACTTCTAATGAATGATCCTGCCAGAAAATTTCCATTTGATCAGTGCTTGCAGCCAATCGGCTGAAGCACTTACTAGTGTAATGGCTAACCAGTGTACAGCGATGCTTCCAACACTCCATTCCTATCGCACTGTCCTTGCAATCTGCTGCGGGTGTCGTGTCAGTGCAAAGTTAACGGCACCCCAAACACAGGTAGCAAACGCAATGTGTTTGCGCACCAGCCCACCCCGGATTGCAGGGTACA